GAGAAGAGGGAAGGGATGAGGAGCAGGTGAGGAGGAGGATGACAGGAGGTACAGAAGTGACAGAGGCAGAGATGGATAGAAAACAATAGAAGAGGTGCAGATGGAGAGAATAGGGAGTGGTGTTGGGGGATCGAGGCAGAATTGGGAGAAAGACAGGGTTATCATGCAAAGTTGAGAAGGAGAGATGTAGCGATGGAGGAGAAGGAGAAGCAGACAGATGGAGAGAGCTAGGGAGCAGGGGACTGAAGAGACAAGAGTTTGGTGAGGGGAGGATGAGAAGAAGGAAAGACACATCAGAAAGTTACAGACTGAGAAAGAGGAAATCTTAAAAGTTCAAACTGCTATCTCCCACTGTTATTGTATGGAAGAGAAAAGAGAAGAAAAAATAATAGACTTAAGGTTTTATTAATTGTTACTCTCAAATGAGTAAAAGTAACTTTTTAAGTCAGAATTACCAATCTCTTTTACACACAGATTAATTTACTTGTCAGGAGTACTACTCAGCAAGTGAAAACAGTTGTAACGTCCTTTGAGGCTCTCAATGTATGTCCAAATAACCCTGATGATGTCATGAGGCTGTGTTATGTGCTTGGGTGAACGTAGTGTTTAAAATATGTGGGCATTTACCAGGCAGGGAGGATTTAGTGAAAGACTATTGAGTTGCATTATGGGAATCGTTGGATTCAGTGTTTTTAGAACTTCAATCACCTCTTAAACCTGCTTCTTCAATTTTGAGGAAATCTTTTAAAAATCTGTTTTATGAGTCCCTCAACTTGAATGAATGTGCAATGATGAATGCAAACTCGTGACTGAGTATCTGATTCGTTTGACTTGGTACATTTCAGTTTTGATCTATAATTCTTATAATTTTGTCTTGTTCACCTTATATCTACTATTTCCAAATTAAGCATTGACTTAAATCAAAAGTGCTGTTTTTTTTTTTATCATTACTAACTTTTCTTTTTTTTTCTTCCTCCTTCTTGGCAGAAATTGGCTTCCATACATTTGAGCTCATCAATGTGCACAGTAGTTTGTGTAGTTTAAAATATATTATTTTGACCGCTACCTGATATACTACACAATAGCCACTCTTGTCACAAAGTCTCAGGTGGGAGACCTGAGCCTGGCCACATGTTTCAGTGGGTCATCTTGTTGAACACAAGTTGTTCATTTTAACCAATAGAAGCTAAAATGAGGCATGTTTACCAAGATGAATAGAGCCTATTTTGTCATCACATGCTTAAGATGAGACTGGCATTTGATTCTGCACTAGTAGCACTAGATAGTACTAGTAGAACTCAGAAATAAGAAGTTGATTTGAACTTTCAGAGTGCAGCGCCACACTAAAGCCCATATCAGCCAAACGTTATAGCTGACTGAGTGAACGTGTGATAAAAACGAGAAAAGACAGGCTGTCAGATAGACACAGGTGGAGGGAACAAAAGACAGGGAGGGAGGATGATTGAAACTTAGTGTAGAATCTATTACTAAAGCCATCAGGGGGGATGGATGGACAGACAGCTCAAAGAGAAGATTGGTAAACAACAAGGGAAGAGAACCTGAGGAGAAGTGAACTAATGGATGTGACAGTGGCGAAGGTAGCTGTACCTTCACAAAGAGGATTATGAATCCCTTAATGATACAACCCTAACTCAATACACATGCATGTTGGAGTGTTGTGATTAAAAAGGACATTTCACAAAGACGGGAGAGCAGCAGGAGACCAGATGAAAGAGATAAGAAGAAATGGAGCGCCAAACAGAGTGTAGAAAATTTGATATGGAAGAGATGTTTACACTGATGGGAGCTGTGTGAAATCCCTGCAAAAAGAAAGATCCTATCTTTTGTTGTGGCTGATAAAAGTAAGCAGTATAAAACACTAAAGTGCAGAATAACATTTATTTGTATCCTATAAAAATGTGAATGGAGAAAGAAAAAATAGTAAAACTAAGGCAATAAACTGAGGTAAGATAATGATTACGTATAATGTGTAGTATTTATCAACACTACAGCAGTGTGAAGCCTTGGACTTACAGCATGGTGGTAAATCTGAAATGGTGAGATGAGGTAATAAAATGACCAACAATGAAGGTACCGTGATGTCATGAACTGGTGAGTCATGAAATTACCAAAATCTCTGAATAGGTTATGCTGCTATACAGACAGACAGAAAGACAGAAAGACAGACAGACAGA